AATCCCACTATGTATATGACACAAGCAAGTAATCCCTTGACACTTCGGGGAATTTACTTATTACAAATAGAAATTGTCACAGAAGTGAGTAGAAGTGACTTGGAAATTGTCACAGAAGTGACTTCCAAGCCCTTAACCCAAAGAGTCAGAAGTAGTCTAAGAATTAGAATTAGAAGGAAATCTAGACAGTTCAATTCCTTCAAGTAATAGAACACTTTTCCAATTTTTACACAAAATCCAGCATTCAAAAGAAAGTCTCCTTGGGGACCAGCAGTTGTCATAATGGCTATGTCACTGGACTCCCATGTAGTCAACCGTGGTTCGAGTCCCAGACCCAGTGGCTTAAACTCATGCTGGGCACATGTGCATGTGTGCCCAAGATCCCAAGAGGAGATTGGAAAAGAAGGGGTTGCGGCGTGGCCATGACCCCGTGGGATGATTTCTCGCTTTCTGTCTCTCTGTCTCTCTCTCTGTCTTTCTGACGAGTGCACGCACCCTATAGCAAAAATCTCTCCAAAAATAAGTCTCCTTGGTTGAAAGACAGAGTAGAGCCCACAGGGCCCCTGCTGTTACAGCTGTTACAGCTGTTCCCCAACATCAACCACCGTGTTAGCCATAACACCTTCCTGTGAAGCCTTATGGTTTTGGGGAACCTGCTAAAACTTGCATTTTACCCCATCTTTCTATGTTTCCAAGCAAGCAGACCCTGAAATATAGCATACCTAATGCTTCTACTTCCAACCACCCAAGGTTGTCTTTTTGTTTTTTGTTTTTTTTTCCCCCTTTCTGGTACACTCACTAGTCTGAGAGAGAAAAAACACCCCATAACAGGTCATAGCTATGCAACAGTCTTTCGTACTTGTTTTCTTCCCATCAGGATTTTGGGCACACACCCAGCATGATCTTCAAGCTTCTAGGGCCTGGATTCAAACTCAAACTCGCAATTAGCCATGTGGATTCTGTTCCCAATGAATAGAGCTTAACCAGTACACCATGGGACCAGCCCTGTTTTTTAATTTAAAAAGAGAGAGAACAAGCACATAGGATGGAGCCCTGTTTTTTAATTTAAAAAGAGAGAGAATAAGCACAAATGAATGTAGAGAGAGATAGGCACTTTCTACAGAGACTGTCACTTAGTGGTCCTTCCTGCTCCGGCCTTCCCATTAGCTAGGACCACAAGCATAAGCCACATGCCAGACCTGTCTTAGGTTGGGCTGGTACTGAATCATGGCCTCCAACACTCACAGCAGCCATGTCTTTAAGCCTGTGCCACCTAAGCTAGGCCGTGTTATTTTCTGAGATGTCATTATCTTCTGTAATCTATGGATTTAAAGAACATGGGGTGTTGATGATTTCGAACTCCACATGGTCCCTTTATGAATGTATAGTACTCAATCGGATGCTTCCATTTCATAGATGGAAATAGCCTACATGTCTATAATCCTGTGATCCCAATCATTTCAGAAACCAAAAGCTTCTTACCTCATTTGGTGCCTTCGGTTCTCTTGAAGCTCTGTTCCACAGCAGTCTACATGGAGCACCAGAGGTGGAAAGGTAGAATCTTGTGGAAATATGAAGAGAAACCTTACAGGGTTGCAGTCAGATAGATGAGGTTTCAGCATTTGATTTAGTGTCTGACTCACCACCTCTGCATGAAGCAGGGAGTTAAACAGAACTGGGGAGCACTTCCTGCCCAGTAGCAATCTCTCAAAACGAAGTGCTTAGGGAACTAGGAAACTAAGAGGCACAGCTATAAAACCATGGTCTTTATTCCTTCTCTCTATAGGCTCCTTTGTGAAAACCAGCTACTCTCCCAACCCCTACCCCACCTCACTTCTCTTCTAAACAAGCAAGGATGTTTTAGTAACACTCTAGACTAACTCTAATTGTCTCTCCTTCCTAATGGACTGCTGTGGGTGGGTGTGTGCATGAGAAAGAGAGAGAGAGAAAGAGGAGAAGGGAGGGGGGATGGGGAGGGAGAAAGAGAAGTGGTAAAACACAACTGTATGACAATGGGACAGACACTTAGTTGAAGTGGGACAGACGCTTAGTTGAAGTGGGACTGCCTGGGAAAAGAAATGGGAGAAGTTAAGGTCCTTTTTATCTTAAGATACTGGAATGAATACTGAGAAAATGCCTGTGTCTGCCTTCGAGCCTGCTTGGTATAGATTCTTGGGACAGAGTTGCTGGAATTTTAATATAATTTATTACTGATGATAGTTTATATCAATTCAGACACCCTCTTTAAGGTGATAATGTATTAAGTGCCAGTCTTAGGATATTGTAGACCTATTTTTAACTAGAGGCCAATTTGAGTGTCTGTAAAATGTGTAGCTTCAAAATTTCTTTTTGTCCCAGGACTGGTGACTTCAATAGTGGGGTGCTGCTTTGAGATTCTGGAGCCATAGGGAATACCCCAGCACGGGCTCCTAGGTCTACCTGAGTGTGCCAGGCACACCAGTGATCCTGGCTAGTCGACTGGGTGGCTGGCTGAAGAATGGAGGGACCATAGCACAAGACCCTGTAAAGAGTGCCTGTGGGGACCAACAGATGGCATAGTGGTTATGTCGCATGCGTGCCCAAGATTCTGGGAGGAGAATGGATGAGAAAGGATGGTGACATGGCCATCTCCCCTGGAAGGGGGAAGGCGGACTTCTCGCTTTCTGTCTCTCTGTCTCTCCAGCGAGTACGTGCACCCTACAGCAAAAGATCTCTAAAAGAGTGCCTGTGTATGTATCTCATAAAAGCCATACATACATAAATTTTAAAGGATCAAAACTCATTTTTAAGGAGGTCTTCTTTCAGGTACCTAACCCTCAAGGGGAAATCTATCATCTGGCATCTACTTTAAATTTTTTATCTACTTTTAAGTTCTGATAATATTGTTACTATTTGACTACATAAATTTCCATGCCTGTGTTTTTTGTGTCACTTTGACTATGGTAACTAAAACCTTTGAAAAATAAAGAGCCTTTCAGTCTTCATTGTATCTTCTCTGTAACCTGACTATTCTAGGTATATTTATTAATATATCTATGTTCTCTACGAATGTTTTATTTTCTACTTTCTCAAATAAAGTATTCAAAGGTAGTGAGAAAACAGACCAAGAACAAACAGCTTCTGGAAAATGTACCCCCCACATTGAGGACATTGAGAAACTATTGGGATTACAGTGGCAAAGGGGAAGGGGGGGGCATAGCCAGGTCCTTTGTATTTGGCTTAGCGGGATGAACACAAACAGGTGGACCTCCTAACAATCTCTATCCTTCTCTTATTCATACCCCACTTTTTCTTTCTTTATGAGAAGGACAGCCAGGGAGGCAAGGAAACAGAGAGAGAGGCATTTTTGATAGGATTGTTCCCTTGTGGTCCTACTGCCCCAGCCTCCCCGTTAGCTGGGACCAAAGGCATACACCACTGTGCCCGGCAACAAGCCTCCCATGCGGCCTCAGCCTCTGCACAGCAGTGCCCTTATACTTGCACCACCGTGGCTAGGCTTCCTAGTCCCTCTTCTAAATTCCTTGTATCTCATATCCAATAAAATATTTTGGGGATGAATAAATATGATGAAATGTAAGTAAGAAATGCCATTAAACCATACTGTTTTGTAGCTGGATCTGAGCTTAAGGAGGCTCTTGGGAGCAGTATGGTAGATATAGTTTTCAAAATATCTTTTGTACCTAAGAAGGTAACCACACCCATGCAGTAATCTAGGACCAAATTTTAATCTCCCTGGGAATTGACCACGAAGCATAGAATGTTCACAGACAGCAGGGAGTAGCTGATACCAGGGAGACCAACTAGCGTATTGTGCCCATGACACAAGCGTTCCAGTCTGTGCTTGTCTCTGTAGTATCTATCTGCTCTTATGCCAGCAGGACACAGCTGCAACTGCTGAAAGGTGGCAGGAAATCGGAAGGCTTCCTGCTTGGAAACCCTCCTAAAGTCATGTGTCTGAGCTACATGCTTCCCCTGGTTTTATCGAATATTTACTGTATATTTGCTTCAAGTGATCAGATCTGTTGTGCCTTTTATCACGTCCTTCAGAAGGACAGAACTGCTGATGACAGCAAAAACCTGGACAGTAGCTGTTCCGTGCCAGGCAAAAGCTAAGTGCCTTCCTCGCAAGTTTTAATTCATACCATTGTGTGAATTAAATATCCGTATATCGCGCATAGGAAAACTGCGGTTCAGAGAAACAGAATCCAGGTATCACGCTCTACGCACTTTCCTTCCTTGCTGAATTAGAAAGGATCTCCCTCTGCTTCTTTACTTTCCTTAATGATTGCATCTTTTCACGGGGCTGTTTTGTAAACATATGTTTTTCCAATTACACCTCAGTTTCTGAAACAAGGACCCATGTATTAAACCTCTCTTTCTACCTGCTTGTAGCCCTTTCTCAATCTCTGTTTCTTCCTTTGTAATAGGAACGTCATTTGTGCTGGATGTGGACAAGAAATGCCATTAGAGGATTAGGATTTACTTGGCTGTGTGATGATAGCCACACAAATGGCTTAAACACATGAGAAAAATGAGTCTAGTGGCAGACATGATGCCCCTGTGGTCTCTGGAAAATATAGGTTTTCTGATTTAGTCTGGCACCATTGCCCCAAATCAGTATTCCAGCTATCAGGCCCAATTTTCAGGAACCAAAAAGAAATAAAAGGAAAGAAAATACATCACCTGTGGTTCTAAGGATATTTCCTCAGAGTTGTGTTTACCATTTGTGTTTATAATCACTAAGTGGATTTAGTCTCTTGGTATATCTCATTGGAACTGAGACTAGAAAATCTCATGCTTAGTTTTAATGTGTGCCCAGCTAAGGACTCAGTTATTGTCAGTCGCTCCCCAAGACCCATGAAGCTCAGGCCCCTGGAATTGACAGCCGGTAACTACGCAGCTGTCTTCTGAGGGTCCCTCTGCATGGGTTTTGGGCAGCTTGCATCTCTAACTTATCACCCTTCTATCTTTGGATTGCTAAGTGTTCCGTCTCATCCTAGGGAGAAAACTCAAATGTGAACCCTCCCAATTCCAGTGCACAAATGGCCGCTGTATTACTCAGTTATGGAAATGTGATGGAGACGAAGACTGCGCTGATGGTAGTGATGAAAAGAACTGTGGTAAGTTTGAACATCCAACTGGCCAGTTCACTAGGGTTTTTGCATTCTATTGAGTCTGATGACATTATCTTAGTTTTTACAAATGTATTGAGATTCTGGAAATAAAATCTACTCGTAAGAATTGCTTTGAACCAGAGTCCAAAGAATTTCTATGTCCTAGTTTGGAGGAATATAATTGAATGCTTGACGTGGGGTTATCAATTTGAGTATGGAATGTTGAAGATAAAGTGGAGTTCCTTTTAAATGACAGGACCTGGTTTATCTTAGATCAGGCAAATATGTTGGTTTAAGAAGGAGGGGGGAAGGGGTGAAAACAGAAATAGAGACAGACAGAAGATTGCTTAGAAGTGACTTTAAATTCTCAAATGGCTCTGGTCCCAGAAAATAAAGCAAGCCATGACACTATGAAATCCCCTAGTTTCAGGGGGTTAATTAACCCCTGACATAGCAACTACAAGCCATAACAGATCAAAGGTCAGATAGGGATTCTTTTCTAATTCTCTGCTTACAATAGTTGCTAATTCTAAAGCATTAGCAGGGCGGAAGACAGTTTCTCCCCAAGAGAATGGGGATATAACATCATACTCATTGATCAGCATCTACCAAAAGAATACTGTGAGAAATGCCTGTGTATGCAATCTATATAACCTCATGTCAAGCCAGAGCAGCTCAGACCCATGTGTCAGGATCATGTGTAGGCACCTCAAATACATGCCGAAGTGTGTTTTATGATCTCTTTGTTCCAGGTTGTAAGAATCCTGAAACATGGATATAATATTGGTGCTAACAATGTCATTAATTTTTAAAAGATGTAATTAATATATAAAGGCAGATATGTATATACTAGAAATACAGAAGAAAAATAAAAGCTACATGTAGGTTTTGTCAGCTGCCATTTGCCATGCCCTTACCTCCTTCTTCATGAATGATTGCTAAAATGTTGTGGAGTAAATACCATGGCAGACGTGGCCTGTGCTCGACCTTTCTGAGCAATACCATGGGTGTTTTCACAATAGTATGCAAATCAATAGCTCCTTTGGAAGGCTAGAATGTCTACTCTGCAGTCTCAAGTAAAAAACTTAGCTCCAGTCTCAGGACCAAGAATAGTTCTCCTGGGAAACACTTTTCCATTATTTGCATTCTGACCCTAAGGGGAAAAAAATTGTTTTCCAAGAGTAAAAGGAAACTTTATTGACAGAAAAAGCACCTGAGGCTCTGAAGTCAGAAGTGCTTCAGCCCACCCTACCAAGGAGACATGATTTAGTCATAGGGGAGAGGTGGAGGAGTAGGGTCACAAAAATGGCAGGTACTTTGATTAGTTTATTTGCCACTCTGACTTCATCAGCCCATTTTAATCTGCTATACAAGACAATGAGTTCTATGCTATTCCTGAGTTATTTCAGTAAAGAGTTCTCTCACTAGATACCTCATGAGCAGTTCCATCCAGTTCCTATCAGCTGCCCTCTGGGTATACGTGGCAGTTCTTCTTCTAGTCTATACTACATATTTGGCAAAAGCCATTGCCTTTATGTAAAAAGAAATTATTCTCTTCATGTTGTTGAAGTCTTCTTTTCAGATGGTAAAATCTTCCTAGGTCATCTAGGGGTAGTCACTGGTTTATCCTAAAGTAGTCTCTGCATAAATATCCTCTACTAGCCATATGGTAGGAGAGTTTGGAAGAGTGAAGGAAGCAGATGAATAGGTAATAAAGATTATTTGAGGTGGAGAAAATTAAATATCTTCTTGGTCAGAATTTTTCTCTGCCTTCCAGGTGTGAAGGAAGAGGACAATGGAAACATTACTCAGAACTTGCTCTTTCTTTCTTTCAGTTGCTATAGGGCAAATTAACTCACTGGAGAGAAAGAGAAAGAAAGTGAGAAAGCACCCCCTGGTTGTGGGGAGAGATGAGCCATGGTGATATCCCTTCTCCAGTCTCCTGTCAGGATTTTGGGCACACATGCGCATGCGCCTAGTATGTTTTTCAAGCCTCCAGAGACAGAGAGGGAAAGTGAGACAACATCCTGCAGGGAGGATGGCCACGCAGCAATCTCTTTTCCCTCTTTCTCCCAGAATTCTGGGCAAGCATGCACATCTGGCTTGTTTCTCAAGCTGCTGAGTCTGGGACTCTAATCATGCAGTCGGCCAGGTGGGATCCAGTCACCTAACCACCATGCCACTGGCTGATGCCAGCAGGGTTCTTTCTTTCATGCATGTTAATTGTATATTTAGTCAACTTGAGCTTAGACTCCAAAGCCTTGTTCTTCTACTAGGCCCAGTAACTCGTATTTGACGTGTTAGACTGAGTTGCTTATTCGGTAACTTAGGTACCCTAAGTAATTCTCTTTCCC